ATATACAACAACTGTGCTGAGTTCAAGAAAGCACTGAAGTTGAATGCTATAAAAAATCACTTCCAGTACGTGACATATAAGTCAAATAAGAAGTTTTTTTGTAGCAAAATGCTTGGATGAAAAGTGTAGTTGGGAGATAAAAGCAAGACAAACTAGAACACTATGAAGGTTTAAAATTGTGAAGCTTGTAAACACACATTCTTGCAAATTGGAAGTAAGACTAGCATATCAGAGACATGCAACATCAAATTTGGTAGCAGAATGCATTTAGTCTAAGTTATTGGATCCAAAGGCGCAATATAATGGCTTTCTGCCACAGTTCTTGAGTGTTGTGAAACAAACGAATCTTGGATCGTTTCTGGAAACTTAAAGTTAATGAAGACAACACATTCTTGTATGTCTTCATGGCTATTGATGCATCAATTAAGGGTTGAGAATTTTGCAGACCGATTATTGTAGTTGACGGGACATTTCTGACTGAGAGGTATGACAGAACACTGTTAACAGCATCAACACAAGATGTTTGTGGTAAAATATTTCATATTGCATTTTCTGTCGTTGACTCTGAAAATGATTAATCTTGGAAATGGTTTTACAGAAATATTAGACAAGCTTTGGGTTATAGAAGTGGAATGGTGATTGTTTGTGATAGACATGAGAGTATTGCAAAAGTTGTTGTAGAAGTGTATCCAGAACCTGGACATGGGGTATATGTATACCATCTATTCAACAAACTCAAGACAAAGTTCAAAAGAAAAAGAAAAAGAATGAAAGACAGGTTTTTTGAAGCTGCACAAGCATACACCAAAGAGGATTTTGATTGGCACATTGAGGAACTGAAGAAACTGGATGATGGGATAGTACCATATTTGTACTCAGTTGGGTATGAAAAATGGACTACAGTTTTCTCAACATAAAAAAGATACTCAACAATGACTTCAAATATAGTTGAATCATTGAATGTCGCATTGAAAAAGATGAAAAAATCTGCCAATAACTGTGTTGCTACAGTTCTTGCATGCATTGGTACAAATATGGACACATGTGAACAGAAATGTTGCAAGGAACACATTCACCAAACTTGCAAAAGTTCCACATGAAACACTACAGCAAAACTACCTCAAATGCATGAAGCTAAAGGTATATAGTGCTGAAATTATATGAAGTTAAATTTCATTAAAAATTGCGAATATAACAGTTGCAATTTGAATTGCAGGTGATTCCTTATAGTGAAGCAATATTTACTATGTCTGAAATGAACACAAGATTCATTGTTAACTTAGAGGAAAAGAATTGCACTTGTAGAAGGTTTCAAATTGATGAGTTGTTATGTATTCTTGCACTGGCAGTACTCAAAACGATGAATTAAAAGCTATACAAATTTTGCTCATCTTACTACTTAAAGGGCACAATGCAACAAACATATAAAGGGACTGTGCATCCAATTCCAGATCAGAGAACATGGCAAATGAATAATTGTGATCAAAGATTGAAAATCTATCCACCACATGGAAAGAAAAAATCTGAAAGGCCGAAGAAACAGAAGTACAAAGCACAGTGGAAGAATACAAGTACAAACAAATGTGGGAAGTGTGGAAACCAAGGACACAACAGAAAGACATGTAGGAATGCACCCCAAGAGTAGAAAGTTTCTATTATGCAATTGTTTTGCAATTTCTCTCAATTACTACTGTTGAAACTCAATTCAATATAAATGTGCATTAACATTGTTACTGTCCATTCTATATATGTTGTTCTTTATATTACGTAAGGAAAAGTACTATTATGGCATTAAATACGAAAGTAGAAACAATAAGAAACAACAAGAAACAAGTTAAGAAACAACTGCCATTTTTTATTAACAAAAAGCAATGACAAAAACATCAAGCAAAACAAGTGTAGAAACATAAAAGTAGTAAAGTAATTACTTAAGAAAGACAAAGAAAAAGCAAGGAAATAAACATAGGCTATAGAAATGAAAAAAAGAAACAAATATAAACAACGAAACCACTAGCAGAAACACACTGAAACGACACAAAAACATATCACACAGAACAATAATAGCTTTTCAAAACCAATGTAAAACATATCACATAGAACTATAACGCAACAGTACAACATTATGTTTTCAAAAGAACTAGTTAACATATGGTTTTTATATTAGAAGTTCACAAAACAAAAGTAAATTACTGCTTGTTACATCTATTTAATTAACTTCTTCATGTTCTTCCTCTTGGATTTGATTTGTTCAACATCACTCTGGACTTCACCATTTGTTTTGGACAATCTATATTGGTAGAGAAAGTAGGAAAGTATGGTCCTGCAAAGCTCAATATCCAAAAATGGATGAATCTCTATGTCATCAATGAAATATTCAGCAAAAGCAGCAATAAAAGCCCCACAATCACTATAAAAATTACAATAATAAACAATATTGTTAATGGTAAAACAGGAACCAAAAGATAAAAAAACATTTTAATTAAATGAATAAACTTACGATGATTCTTGGATAGGCAAGTCACTCACAAATTTCATCTCTATGTCCTTATTAATATACAATCCATGCCCAGAGAAGTGATCCATGTGTCGAAAAAACAATGGGAGCATCACAATTAAGGGCTTCACAACTTATGTAGCATGAGATGCATCCCTTGAGATGTTCATGGAATTATAAACATAAGTGCACCAATCCTTGATGCAAAACTTGGCAAAAATCCAATGTATCTGTTTCTTGATGTACAACGGCATCAAAACATGGTCAACATTATCCCAAGGCTTAGAAAAGGCAACTGCAAGCCTACAATACAATCACATATATTTGCAAATTTTGACCAAGAAAATGATTTATCTAAGGTGGCACCATAAAATTTTTGTAGATTAAGTTGGAAAAGAGCATCAGTTGTTGTGAAACTGTGTTTGCATGTCTTAGTAACTTCTGCATTTTTCCTAAGATAATGAAAGATCGCATTGATATGCTGCAAGAAAAGGGAAAAAATTAGAAGAAGAAAATGACGAAACATAAACAAATATTTATAATATTTAAACAAAAAGTAGATAAACATACAAAATCTGATATCATTTGACCAATATAGTGAAGACAATGAAACCATGTCTTAGATTCCACAAAAGCAACAGTAAAGTCAAATCCAGGACTGAGATGATAAATTTTGGCAGGATACATCAACTTTGATCTACAAAAGGATAAAACATACGTGAAAAATCAAAATATAGTAACATCTATAATATATAAGGATAATTGTAAACAAACCTCTTCCGCTTATATGCTCCTTCATCAATCAAAATATTAAACGCAGAAAGAGCATCAAATGGTGCAACACAGTCTGCTTCATCAAGAAAATGACATAGAAGTGGGGCAACAAAAGACTGTGTAGAGCCACATCCAGAAGTAAACTCACCAACAAATGGAGATTTGACGAAAACACTAGGCTTGACACTCCTTTTTTCTTAAGAATTGATTCATCTGTATGAACAACTGAGATAGGTGGAATAAAGGGAACATAAGGAAGTAAATCCATCATAGGATTTGTAGAACCCGAAGCAGGATCTGTGGTCGACAACTACATAAATGAAATTCAATATTAAAACCAATATAAAATGAGAAAAAAGCTAAAGAATAATGAACATAAATTCAATACCTTGGCACTCTTAAAATTTGAAACTAGGGAATCCAGTTTAGCATAGAAAGATTCATCGTTAACAGCATCATTACAGGGAGAAAGTGGTTGTTGATCAATTGCTTGATCCTCAATAGACATCATATCAACAACAATAGAAGAAACCATCTTTTGGTAATGCTCCAACAACATACAATCATGTTCACAATGATGCATATCAGTAACAGTAGATAAAACAAGATTCTGAACAAAATCCATCAGCACAGAATCATGCTCATTTGACATGGAAGTAGTAACAGTTGAAAAAACTAGATTGTCGATGAAATGCAATAAGAGATTAGAATCTTTAGAAGAAACAACAACTGCAACACTAGCAAACACCAACTCCTGTAAAAAAAACTTCAAAAACTAATAATGATAAAAAAAAAACTTAAATCACACAATGAAACAAAATGAAACCATATAAAACAAAATGAAGCAAATGAAAACCAAATCTGTTGATTATCTATGGCATTTGCAGAAGGTTCAGTAGAAATTATTGGCTCATGTAACAAACCACATTCAAGATCAACATTAACAAAATCATCAGTAGCAACAAAGCAAGATTCGATCTCATTATGAGAAAGAACATTTGTAGCATCATCTTCAGAAATACTATTTTCAGCAACTTGATCTTGTATAATAGGAGTTTGGTGTGAAGATACAAAACCTGAAACTGGCTGCTTGAAAGTGAGATAACACGCTCAAGCTTTTGTTCTAAAACTATAAACCTTCCCTGAACAAATTCCTTGAAATCCACAAGTTTAGTGTGTAGGCATTTTTCAAACTCCGATAGAGCAGAGCTTGAGATAGCATCGCCAAAACAAATATTAGGTCCCTCCCCAACATTTGAAGCAGAAGGCACACTTTAGGGCCTTAACACATGAGCAACAAACAAAGCATCCAATTCACGAGATTCTTTTTCAACATCTGTAAGAACAACATTGTGTAACTTCAACTGCATAATAGAAACATAAAGAGAAAATATTGAAAATTTAAATAAAAGGTTAATAAAACCATAAAACAAGGAAAATAAGTTTTAAAAATAACTGAGAAGCAAATAAACAAAGAAGTTTCATATTCAACTTCTTGTGGGTGAGTGAAACAAAGAGTGCCAAGACTGTATACGAGGAATTAGAGAACCCAATCTTGAAGCAAAAATGTCATCACAGTAATCACAACACTCATAAAACCACGCCTGAATTGCTAAAGGAAATCCCTAAATACGGTAAAAGAAATAGTCACTTTCTCTAGTATCCTCTCTCACGAGTCTGCCTTTCAAATTTTGTAAAGTGATATAAAAAAGGTCTTTCCCCCAAGGATACTGTGACACCGCACCCGTACGTCCTTGAAAATTGATTCAAAAATTCAAAGATTATGTATTGGATTTCTGATTCCCAAACAATTGTGAAACGATTAATGTTTTACGTAAATAATGGTCGATTAGTGTACTGTTCAAACTCGTATATTAGTGTTGGGCGTGCAAACACTATTTGGGTCTTACTAATAAATAAAAGAGCTCAACATTTCCTAAATAGGGATACATGATCCTTCAAGACAATTTGAGGAAGGTCGGGCGGCCCAAACATTATTTTGGGCCCAACCTGCTAAAAATAGCAAGTATTCGAGAATGGCATTCTAGACCCACTCGGGAGTGACCCACATGGCTAGTAGCCCAATAATATGTATGACAAATGTTACATAAGTGATAGAATGATTAAAGGAGAATACAAATGCCTATAACCCCATCTTTGGCATTATTGAGCTAAATAATGGGAGTAGGATTTTCCTTCTAAAATATCCATCAAGTAAATTATTGGGATGAGCCTACACATATTGGAGATCAATAATGTGATTTAATAAGTTGACTTGTTCTAAATAAATTAGGATGAGTACAAAAAGACATCTTTGACAAAAGATAAAACAATAGGACCCATCTTCCTAATTTTGGAAGTATTGGTAGATGTTTTGGACCCCAAATTGATTGGGATCATTTGGGGAGCACCCCACACCTTCTTGGCACCTGCAAAATAAAGAGAATGAGTTAAAAACCTTGGTTGGGGCGGACAAAAGGAGAGGGAGGCTGAACATGACATGTTTGTGAACCAAATGGACCCTCTCCCCATTTTTTTTGATTGAGGTATCTTGCTCAATCATCCCACATGCCAACCCACTCCTATCCTTTGACTTTTGAGGCTAAGTTAAGGCCAAGATAACATTTCCCCAGCTCCCATTCGAACTCCCCAAGATAAGAGGGAAGAAGAGAGCCACACAACCTAAAAGAGCAAGGAGAAAGCAAACTGCCCGCAGGTTTTTCCTCCAGTGAAAGGGTTACTTGTTTGCTTCATATCTCGAGTTATACACATCCAAATAAGGCGTACGAGATACCAACAGAAAGCTCTCAAGACGAGGAATCCGTGAAGGTCTGGTTTGCATCAATCGGAGTAGTGGAAGGCTTCCAAATTGACCGAGCAAAACACGACCTCGCAGGAAACGCTTTTGTAGTCAAAGTAAGTTTGAATCCAAAACCTTCCTCCCTATTGCCTAAATCATATAAATGATTGAAGAACTATTATACACTGATTGGAGTGTATAAAATGATATTATTATGTGACTTTAATTGATGTAAAGGTTAGATACTAACCTAGATGCAAATATTGGAAAACTAGGAATCGAGTTAGCCGGAAAACACCCGTTCTAGGGGCTGTTTTCGTATCAACGATTCGGGGTTGAAATAGCAACTTGAGGAGGCTGTTTAGAACCCATTTTCAAGCAAGGAACTAGTTCCCAATCTTCCTTGGCCGAGGCTTTGGTCATTGGATCGAGAAGGGAGGTTTTAAAGCTCATTTGAGGTGAGGATCGACATCTAGTTGCTTACAACTTGTAGGTTAAGCATGAGATTACCTAAATGCCTAAATAATGTTTTCCATGGATTATGATGATAAACTATTGATGGAATATTGATCTATTTTCCAAAGAATGAAATGGGAAATGATTTGGTGAAGTATTGATAAAAATGGAGTTAAATGAACTATTGTGTGAAATAGGCATTTTACTCATGTGTGCATTGTGTAGATACATAAATGATTATTTATGTATTACATTGAATGATTTAGTTGCTGCTACATATCTCTAAATATGTAGGGTTTTACAAATGGAATATATGATGGATAAGAATAATCTTAATAGTATTGAAATACTAGTTAATGATTGTTGTAATTGTTAAGGAATTGAATCTATGGATTTGATTGAAATTGATGAACTTGATTGTGATGCAAGTGACTAAATTGATGTAATGTGATGCTAAGACCATGGTTGGGCAGTCCGTAAGGACGTCCCAAAATAGATTATGGATATTACAATTCTAGGCATAGTGAGTGCTTAGGAATTGGGGTCTATGCCAATGTAAGGAGATGTACTTGAGCCGTGCTCATAGAATTGCATTGGGTAGACATGATGAGGTGATTGTAGTGCTTAGGAATTGGGGTCTATGCCAATGTAAGGAGATGTACTTGAGCCGTGCTCATAGAATTGCATTGGGTAGACATGATGAGATGATTGTTGTGCATGGTGATGTAGTCGAGTTGGACTCGAGAATGCAAACATATGTGTTAGGGTTGAACCCTATGTATTGTTGTGACTAGGGGTCACGGGATTTTGGGGTATGTTTGATGAACAAACCTTGGGCCTATGGGCCGACTACTTGACTTTATATATAAAGTAAGTATATTTTTAAAAAGGGGTAACTTGGGGTTACGGCCTATATTATACTATCACCCTATTTGAGGGTCTTGTGTTTGAAATACTTGTTGTATATCTATTAGATGCCATCCACACCAGCACTTTATAGCCCTATAGAGTGCTGACCCCTTCGGGGGCGTCCCACCACCATTTTTCAGGTTGAGGCTAGAGCTTGCTTCCTGTGCTCGTTGCTCGAGAGATCATCTAGGAGCGAAGACTTGGTTCGTGCTTCCTCCATTCGGGTTTTAAACATTAATAAACATGCTCATGGATATTTTACTATAGAGCCTGCGTGCTCATGAATAGCCCGGTGTGGCCTTTTGTTTTAAACAATGTTTTCCGCTGCGTTATGAATTACTTATTATGTTTGTTTATGGATGTTATATGTGTGAATGATATTCATGACGCCTTGTATAATATGAATGTGTTGGGCTGCGGTTGACTATTCGTATTGTACGGCGGGTTGTTGACGTGTCCGGGTAGGTCCGGGGCGTGACAATTGAGTTGGTATCAGAGCCCTTAGTCCATAAACTTCATAATGAAGTCTCAAAATTCTCTTTTCAAAATGATTTTTGAAAACCATGAGCAAAAACGTTTTGTACTTAAGAACTTTTGGTGTTTGAGTTGCAAGGTCTCTAATTGTTAAGATGGCGCCCTTAACGATTGGTATGGCGGTGACTTGGCCCAAGAGATGTCTTAAGTGCCTATCTGTCAGTTGACATTTGAAACGAGTCTAATGACTCATTCTAATTATTTCTTTCAGCGATGGTGGGTGATGGTGGTATTATGAATAGGGAGAACTCGGAAGGGCTTGCACCGGGTGGAACCGGGCATGTCAACCGAGAAAAGCCCTTAGGACCAAAGGTGCATGAAATTCTTGAAGCTCAAATCGTGAGTGGTGGTCATGTTAAGACCAAGGAAAAATCACCTTGTTATGGCAAAACTGAACCACTCAAGGCTTCGGGTGACGAAGGAGATGGTTTGAGTGATGAGGACCTTGATAATGCACCCATTGAACAAATGGGCATGGTCATAAATTGGCTTCAACGTGAACGTGCAAGACTTATACAAAAACGCCAAGCTAGGCAAGCTAAGGACGCACCCTTAGGAAGGAAAAGAAAATGGGGAGACCACGACCCCCAAGGACATTCTAGGAGGACAAATGTTGAGGGTGACAAAACCTTCGGGGTACACACATTATCGCTTGGGAGGAGTCGAGGCTCGGGTGGCCAGAACTCGAGGTCAAGAGGTTCGAGAGTACCTAAGTGCACAAATTGTAAGAAGCACCACCCGGGTAAGTGTTGGGACCCTCCTAGGTGCTACCGATGCAGAGAGATTGGACACACGAATGCGAATTGCCCACAACTTATACCCGACCAAACTTTGGGCTCAAGTAGTACGACTATAGGCATACGGAGTCAAGCCGGGGCCTCTCGAGCAAGTAAGGAACATGGCGGAGCAAGTGTGAGCAACGCGCCGTCCGTGAATCAAGGGAGGACTCAAGCTAGGGTCTACGCGATGACGGAGGCGGATGCTCAAGCTAACCCGGATTCCGTTGCAGGTATTGCCTCTCGTATACTAGTGTTTTACCCTTAATTAATCCATAAATTGAGGTTACTAATCGCTAGGATCATTGCACAAGGTTTTGGGGTCAAACCGGGGGATTTCGGGCAACTTCAGGCGGCTGGGACCCAGGCACGATCGTGCCTAAGGCAGACACGATCGTGCCTCCAAGTCAGTAGCTGCCCAGGAATTTCCCCAGCCCAGGCACGATCGTGCCTAAGGCAGACACGATCGTGCCTACAAGGCAGTAGCTCCCCATGTGTTTCTCCAAACCAGGCACGATCGTGCCTAAGGCAGACACGATCGTGCCTCCAAGGCAGTAGCCCCCAGGGCTTTTTCTTGAGCCAGGCACGATCGTGCCTACACCAGGCACGCCGTGCCTGGCACCCAGATTGCCGAAATATGATTTTTCGCACCGTTTTGCGACGATAAGACCTTTTCTTGATCCCTAACATGCGTGTGAACATTGTAACCTCCTATAAATGATTAGGGAGGGTAGGAGAAATGTCTTACATGGTTCATGAATGTAGGGACACTAAAGATTAATGGGAAGGATGCGCGAATCCTTATCGATACCGGGGCGCAACGTTCATTTGTGAATGAAGCGGTCGCCAAGAGGTTGGGGGTGCAATCCGCACCATTGATGCAAACCTTAGTGGTATCAACACCATTAGGAGATGACGTGGAAAGAACTTGTTATTATCCATCTTGTGGGGTGGAGGTTAATGGTCAAACCTTGACGTGTGACTTCGTACCGCTGGGCATGATTGAATTCGATGCAATCCTAGGGATGGATTGGCTAGAAGGGAACCATGCTAGGGTAGATTGCTACACGAAGGTTCTTGAACTCGAAGGCAATGATGGGGAGACCCTACGCTTCGAGGGCGATCGAGGGAGATCAAATAGCTGTATCATATCCGCCGTGAGAGCGAGAAATATGATGAGAAAGGGATGTCACGCATATCTAGCATACGTGGTTGACAAAACCAAAGAGGAAACGATCATTGATGATGTGAGGGTGGTTTGCAAGTATCCGGATGTCTTCTCTAAAGACCTACCGGGGCTGCCACCTGACAGGGAGATTGAATTTGTGATCGAGGTCGAGCCTGGTACCAAACCAATCTCCATACCGCCATACCGTATGGCACCCGCTGAACTTAACGAGTTGAAAACCCAATTGCAAGAGCTTTTGGATAACGGTTTCATTAGACCAAGCCACTCCCCGTGGGGAGCACCAGTTCTTTTTGTGAAAAAGAAAGATGGGACACTTCGAATGTGTATTGACTATCGTCAACTGAACAAGGTCACAATCAAGAATAGGTATCCTTTGCCTAGAATTGATGACTTGTTTGACCAACTACGAGGGGCAACCGTGTTTTGAAAGATTGATTTGAGGTCGGGTTACCATCAATTGAAGATTAAGGAAGACGACATTTTGATTTACTCAAAGAGTGAGGAAGAGCATGAAGAGCACTTGATACTCGTTCTTGAGACACTACGGGAGAAGCAACTTTATGCCAAATTTTCTAAATGTGAATTTTGGCTAAAGGAAATTGGCTTTCTCGGGCATGTGGTTTCGGGATCGAGAATTGCTGTTGATAATAAGAAGGTAGAGGCCATTACCGAATGGGAGAGACCAAAGAATGTCAAGGAAATTCGTAGTTTCCTTGGATTGGCAGGCTATTACAGAAAGTTCGTGGAAAAGTTCTCTGTTTTGGCGTCGCCGTTGACGAAGCTCACTCGAAAGGGAGCTAAGTTTATATGGGATGACAAATGTGAGAAAGGATTCATCGAACTGAAGAAGAGATTGACCGAGGCACCGGTACTTGCATTACCCAAACAGGGTGTGGGGTACGATGTCTATAGTGACGCGAGCATCCAAGGGTTTGGGTGTGTGTTGATGCAGGAAGGGAGGGTAATTGCCTATGCTTCACGACAGTTAAAGAAGCATGAGGTAAATTATCCTACCCATGATCTGGAGTTGGGAGCGGTGGTGTTTGCACTGAAGATTTGGAGACATTATCTCTACGAAGAGACATGTCACATATATACCGACCATAAGAGCTTGAAGTACGTGTTTACTCAGAAAGAGTTAAACATGAGACAGAGACGGTGGATGGAGTTGATAAAGGACTACCATCTAGTTATTGAGTACCATCCAGGTAAGGCAAACGTTGTAGCAGATGCCCTCAGCCGGAAGAGCTCGTCTGGGCATTGTTGACTAGTTTGAGGACACTGAGGGCCCAATTGGAGGTATCTAGCAACGGTGCTTTATTGGCACGGTTCGAAGTAAGACCGACTCTACTTGATGAGATCAAGAAGGGTCAAGAGAAGGACACAGAACTTATGAAGGTCCGGGAACGCATGCCAGCGGGACCGGTGGAGGATTTCAGGGAAAGAGATGATGGCCTCTTATTATTTCGTGACCGAGTGTGTGTACCGGCAAATGACGAGCTCCGAAAGTCCATCTTAGAGGAAGCTCATTCATCGGCGTATGCCATGCACCCAGGGGGCACGAAGATGTACCGTGACATGAAGGAGAGCTACTGGTGGTCAGGTATGAAGAGAGAAATAGCCGAATATATCAGTCGATGCCTTACTTGTCAACAAGTTAAGGCAGAGCATCAGCATCCAACAGGCTTATTGCAACCACTTTCCATTCCTGAATGGAAGTGGGAACTCGTGACTATGGATTTTGTGGTAGGATTGCCACGGACAATCAGGAACTATGATGCAGTTTGGGTCGTTGTAGATAGGCTCATGAAGAGTGCACACTTCTTGCCTATCAACACTACTTACCCACTTGAGAGGTTAGCCAAATTGTATACGGATGAGATCGTGAGGCTGCATGGGGTCCCAGTGACCATTGTATCCGATAGAGACCCACGATTCCTATCACGTTTTTGGCCAAAATTTCAGGGGTCTATGAGAATGAGGTTGAAGTTCAGTACTGCTTTCCATCCACAGACGGAGGGGCAGTCAGAAAGGGTTATACAGATCATAGAGGATACGTTGAGGGCTTGTGCATTGATTGGAGTTCCAAGGAAGTTGGGACAACCACTTGACACTTGTGGAATTTGTCTGTAACAACAGTTATGAGGCAAGCATCGGTATGCCACCATGCGAGGCATTGTATGAGAGGAGGTATCATACACTGTTATGCTGGGGTGAGGTTGGCTTGACCAAACTCGAGGGTACTGAGTTGGTTGAGGTCACCAAATCAAAGGTGAAATTGATTCGAGAGAGACTCAAAGCGGCTCAGGATAGGCAAAAGAGTTATGCAGATAAGCGTCGAAGAACCTTAGAGTTTAAGGTTGATGACGAGGTATTCTTGGAAGTTTCTCCTTGGAAAGGGATCATTCGATTCCAAACCCGAGGGAAGCTTAACCCTCGATACATAGGTCCATTCAGGATTATAGAGAGGATTGGGGCCGTTGCATATCGTCTACAGTTGACTCCTGAATTAGAGAAGATACATAATGTGTTTCATGTATCCATGCTTAAGAAGTATGTACATGATCCCTCCCACGTATTGGAGAAGCCGCCTGTAGAGGTACGTGAGGATTTGAACTACGCTGTGCAACCAATCAGGGTCACCGATAGGAAGGTGAAGAAACTGAGGAGCAAGGAAGTCCCAAAGGTTAAGGTACTTTGGAAGAGCGATCGGGTCGAAGAAGAGACATGGGAAACAGAAGCTTTGATGAGGAAGCAGTATGCTTTCCTATTCGAGTAGAGCTGTGAATTTCGGGGACGAAATTCCTGTTAAGGGGGGGGGGGGGGGGGGTGAACTTGTGACACCGCACCCGTACGTCCTTGAAAATTGATTCAAAAATTCAAAGATTATGTATTGGATTTCTGATTCCCAAACAATTGTGAAACGATTAATGTTTTACGTAAATAATGGTCGATTAGTGTACTGTTCAAACTCGTATATTAGTGTTGGGCGTGCAAACACTATTTGGGTCTTACTAATAAATAAAAGAGCTCAACATTTCCTAAATAGGGATACATGATCCTTCAAGACAATTTGAGGAAGGTCGGGCGGCCCAAACATTATTTTGGGCCCAACCTGCTAAAAATAGCAAGTATTCGAGAATGGCATTCTAGACCCACTCGGGAGTGACCCACATGGCTAGTAGCCCAATAATATGTATGACAAATGTTACATAAGTGATAGAATGATTAAAGGAGAATACAAATGCCTATAACCCCATCTTTGGCATTATTGAGCTAAATAATGGGAGTAGGATTTTCCTTCTAAAATATCCATCAAGTAAATTATTGGGATGAGCCTACACATATTGGAGATCAATAATGTGATTTAATAAGTTGACTTGTTCTAAATAAATTAGGATGAGTACAAAAAGACATCTTTGACAAAAGATAAAACAATAGGACCCATCTTCCTAATTTTGGAAGTATTGGTAGATGTTTTGGACCCCAAATTGATTGGGATCATTTGGGGAGCACCCCACACCTTCTTGGCACCTGCAAAATAAAGAGAATGAGTTAAAAACCTTGGTTGGGGCGGACAAAAGGAGAGGGAGGCTGAACATGACATGTTTGTGAACCAAATGGACCCTCTCCCCATTTTTTTTGATTGAGGTATCTTGCTCAATCATCCCACATGCCAACCCACTCCTATCCTTTGACTTTTGAGGCTAAGTTAAGGCCAAGATAACATTTCCCCAGCTCCCATTCGAACTCCCCAAGATAAGAGGGAAGAAGAGAGCCACACAACCTAAAAGAGCAAGGAGAAAGCAAACTGCCCGCAGGTTTTTCCTCCAGTGAAAGGGTTACTTGTTTGCTTCATATCTCGAGTTATACACATCCAAATAAGGCGTACGAGATACCAACAGAAAGCTCTCAAGACGAGGAATCCGTGAAGGTCTGGTTTGCATCAATCGGAGTAGTGGAAGGCTTCCAAATTGACCGAGCAAAACACGACCTCGCAGGAAACGCTTTTGTAGTCAAAGTAAGTTTGAATCCAAAACCTTCCTCCCTATTGCCTAAATCATATAAATGATTGAAGAACTATTATACACTGATTGGAGTGTATAAAATGATATTATTATGTGACTTTAATTGATGTAAAGGTTAGATACTAACCTAGATGCAAATATTGGAAAACTAGGAATCGAGTTAGCCGGAAAACACCCGTTCTAGGGGCTGTTTTCGTATCAACGATTCGGGGTTGAAATAGCAACTTGAGGAGGCTGTTTAGAACCCATTTTCAAGCAAGGAACTAGTTCCCAATCTTCCTTGGCCGAGGCTTTGGTCATTGGATCGAGAAGGGAGGTTTTAAAGCTCATTTGAGGTGAGGATCGACATCTAGTTGCTTACAACTTGTAGGTTAAGCATGAGATTACCTAAATGCCTAAATAATGTTTTCCATGGATTATGATGATAAACTATTGATGGAATATTGATCTATTTTCCAAAGAATGAAATGGGAAATGATTTGGTGAAGTATTGATAAAAATGGAGTTAAATGAACTATTGTGTGAAATAGGCATTTTACTCATGTGTGCATTGTGTAGATACATAAATGATTATTTATGTATTACATTGAATGATTTAGTTGCTGCTACATATCTCTAAATATGTAGGGTTTTACAAATGGAATATATGATGGATAAGAATAATCTTAATAGTATTGAAATACTAGTTAATGATTGTTGTAATTGTTAAGGAATTGAATCTATGGATTTGATTGAAATTGATGAACTTGATTGTGATGCAAGTGACTAAATTGATGTAATGTGATGCTAAGACCATGGTTGGGCAGTCCGTAAGGACGTCCCAAAATAGATTATGGATATTACAATTCTAGGCATAGTGAGTGCTTAGGAATTGGGGTCTATGCCAATGTAAGGAGATGTACTTGAGCCGTGCTCATAGAATTGCATTGGGTAGACATGATGAGGTGATTGTAGTGCTTAGGAATTGGGGTCTATGCCAATGTAAGGAGATGTACTTGAGCCGTGCTCATAGAATTGCATTGGGTAGACATGATGAGATGATTGTTGTGCATGGTGATGTAGTCGAGTTGGACTCGAGAATGCAAACATATGTGTTAGGGTTGAACCCTATGTATTGTTGTGACTAGGGGTCACGGGATTTTGGGGTATGTTTGATGAACAAACCTTGGGCCTATGGGCCGACTACTTGACTTTATATATAAAGTAAGTATATTTTTAAAAAGGGGTAACTTGGGGTTACGGCCTATATTATACTATCACCCTATTTGAGGGTCTTGTGTTTGAAATACTTGTTGTATATCTATTAGATGCCATCCACACCAGCACTTTATAGCCCTATAGAGTGCTGACCCCTTCGGGGGCGTCCCACCACCATTTTTCAGGTTGAGGCTAGAGCTTGCTTCCTGTGCTCGTTGCTCGAGAGATCATCTAGGAGCGAAGACTTGGTTCGTGCTTCCTCCATTCGGGTTTTAAACATTAATAAACATGCTCATGGATATTTTACTATAGAGCCTGCGTGCTCATGAATAGCCCGGTGTGGCCTTTTGTTTTAAACAATGTTTTCCGCTGCGTTATGAATTACTTATTATGTTTGTTTATGGATGTTATATGTGTGAATGATATTCATGACGCCTTGTATAATATGAATGTGTTGGGCTGCGGTTGACTATTCGTATTGTACGGCGGGTTGTTGACGTGTCCGGGTAGGTCCGGGGCGTGACAGATACGAATCCCACAAACCAGCATTCACAACAACAAGATAAGTTTCACTAATAATCTTTTCCTGAGACGAAGTAAACAAGAACAAACCAACAACACATAGAATTGCAATCTTCACAGCATCTTCATCACAATCCGCATTTTGACCAAGAAAACAATTTTCAATTGCTTCACGACTACATTAGAACAGTTGTTGAAATATTTTTTGTGAGGTCATTGGTGTCTGATGAAGTGAGAGTAGAAACATCAAACTCACTAGCACATTTTAAACCAGTAACAACAGCGAATTCGGCAATGGAGAACCGCAAACGAAAACTAGAAACTTCAAACCACATCTCATTTGGAAGACTGTGACTAATTTCTCTTAAACTCCAACAATGAACAAGTTGAGACTGAAATTTAAGGTCTTGAAAATCAAGGAGTACAGTTTACCAAAGCAAGTTTCCCTAAATAAAACTCAATTGCACTTCAGCCAATTTGGCCTTGAGATTAGATGCAATGCAATCTCTGTTAAATCTACAAACCCTACTGTTAAACCAGGATTCACATGGAACAATCGGGTATAGTATATGATATATATATCAACTTCGAATGTTGAGATGCATTTGTAATTTTGGGATACATTTGCAAATGATGACCTACCTTTTTAATGATTGATAACAATTAGTATATTCAACAAACTCTAAATTATTAACTCATATAATCAATCTAGGATGTGTTATATTAAAACAACACATTTGACAACAATTTTAATATCATTATGTTAGTAAGATAAATTTATCGTCTTCAATAGTGACTTTTCATGTGTAATTATGCGAAATAGACTTTAAATAGATTACCCTGCCATAACTATGTGATTGGTGTAGACGTGAGCCCAAAGAGAATATCATCCTCATGGAAGGTCAATTTACAATAACAAGTTAAAATGTAACAAAAAGAAGCATGAATAAGAGAACAATATTATGAAGTCATTACAATTTATGCTATACCTAATGCTCTGATCTAAAATGGTGTGTTGAGGTAAAATCACCCTACACGTAAAATCTGAATGTGTCAAATTTGCTTGAACATGGGATGGTTATATTGAATGTTATCATCAAGTTTTATATTCTTGAAGAACTTGTAAACACGTGAGTGGCAAAAAAATCCAATGGTTACACTCAATGACATGATTTCCTTATAAGTTTTTTCTTTTTCATATTTTTTATTCGGTCAAGTGTTTTTAACTCTTTAATTTAACATACCAACTACATAAAGTTACAATATCAAATAATAGTTTAATATTCTTTAGGAAAATGCTCTAATAGCTTATATTGGACATTTAGCACATCGCGCAACACGTGTCGCAATAACTAGTCCCTGAATAGAAGTAAAACATTGCAAAAGTGCAAAGTTAGGAATTCAATGTCCCGTATGATTGCATAGGAGTAAAAAGACCTGACACAAATACCCTTAATGAAGGACCTAATATAATTTTAGTTTCAAAAATACAAAATAGAATAATAATGAAATAAAAATTGTAGGACAACACAGTACTCTCACGACCACCGTACCACCCCACATCAAGTCGCCGCCTGCACCAATCCTTTCCAGAAGTCTCTACCGCCACCGCCAATTGCCTCCGCCATTGGTGGCGGTACCACTGCCAGATGTCTGCCGCCGGTCATCGACCATCTCCATTGCCGCTTCGTCCGCCGCCTCTTCCGCCGTCGCCGCCGTCATCGCCATAAGATTCTGTGTCACTGCCACCTCGTCCGGCGTCACCTTTGCCTCTTCAGAAATCACCGCTGTGTTTGGCTCCACCAGCTCAAATCTCAAATCTGAAAAAGTACTTTAAATGATCATTTTACCATTCAAGTGTCATTTTAATGGCATTAATATTAAGAAAGAGGATGTGAGCCTTATCACCATCTTGATTTTTCATGATACTCCAAATATTGTATTTGCAAGGGGAATGATATTGCTGCCATCATTATGCACTTAGTGCAATACAAATGACATTGTGTGCAGAAACACCATTTTTATTTGATAAAAATCATGGCACTTATGGCACTATTAATACTATATTTGCCATCTCGATGGAATGAGTGAGAAAAATGGCACCATGTGTTGAGATAATATGTTGACATTATTAGGATTGTATTTGAAAAAGAGTAATATTTTCACTTTAATGCCATAAAATTACCTTAAAATAGAGTAGAGATTATAGCAATTTAAGATTCAAACAAAAAATTAGTGTAAAAATTTATAAAAAACAGTGATTGAAATTAATGTAAAATATTAAAGATAAAATAAAAAATCAAAAGACCAAAAATGAAAAGAAAAATGAAAGAGAAAAACTAGAAGAAAGCAAGGAGAAATGGGCCAAAGTAGATCTGGAAAGAAGAGATAACTGGAACAAAAATAAAAAAATAAAAATCGGTTGTGAATTGTAATGTGAACGAGCTTCACGTTGAAAAAAAGAAAGGATATGCCACATAAGGAAGGAAAGGGCTAGGAGGGAGAAGAAGAAGGGAGAAGGAAAAGAAAATTAATACTTACCTCCGATAATCGCTGGTGCCCGCCAGTGGCCGGAGTTTAGAAGAAAAATTCACCATCCGTACCTTTGGAATTTGTCGGGGATGGAGGAATTGATCGAATAAGAAATATGGAAATCGATACGTGTGAGAGAAGAAATTTTAAAGGACGAGGGGAGGAGGGGGGGGAGTAGAATTGAGAAGATGAGAGAGAGGTACTCAGTACAACACTAGAGATGCAAATTGAAAGATAAGTCTGCCATCAATTAATTAATTAATTAATTAATTTAGGTGAGTTGTAGAGAGGGTAAACTTGGAATAACAAATGGCCCAGACAATTAATAAATCCTATTTCGGGAACAAATCAACAAGTACTCCTGTTTTGGAACTTATTCATTGTTTTAGTCCTATTTAAGACAATATATCATGATTCTTTAACCCACAACTTTACATGGTGTCACGGAAGCAATGAAACAATCAAGGGTGTGGCAATCCACCCTTGATACGTATAGAACTATCGATTTAATTCTGATTTACCTCTAAAACTTGAACATCAACGTCCTCCTGCCATAATAGCACTAGACCTCCACTACACCCAACACTATCTACCACACAGCACCCCCAGAAAACCCAACTTACCCATTACCTCACTAACACGTCGTCTACCAGCCTTTGTTTGTGTTAGGAAAATAACAAAGGGTTTCTTATCACGAACCAGATCGCGCAACACCTAAGTAGTAGCCAAGTTCCCTAAATCCCTACAATTCCAACTTACAATACTCATAGAAACTATTCAAAGATGAACTCAAAAAATCTGATAAAACGATATCACAAAAATTCCGAACGACGATGACCAGCAAGAAGTCGGCCAACCATCTCCAAAACCTAAACCACATTAGGCACAAAAACTCGCCGCACAAGACAATCGAAAGACTGCCTCAGGGGAAAAACCCTAAATGGAAGAACCGTCAGACACCAAACTCTAAGTTGGAGACCGGTTCGGTTCTTATATGAAATTAGTGGAACCGTTATAAAAAAACTTAACTAATCAAATCAGCTCGGTTCCTATCTAAAAATTCAAGAACCGTTATGGAACCGCACCAATAGTAGACAACTTGGTTCTTACTTTTATCAGTTGCTAAAAATATTTGTTCCCCGCTAAAAAAATAACACAACTTTCTATAATGCTAAAACATCGAAAATTCAAAACACAAGGAATAAATATTTTTTGCCACTTTCATCACTTCAAACGTGAAGTTCAAACTTAATTTATTTCAATCTTAATAGAATGAAAGAGTTTTTTATATTTTTGTTCGTAAATAAAATATCAAAACCGCTATTATTTGATATCAATAAAAGTTCGATCTTCATAGTAGAATAAGGCGTCCGGTTCAAGTTCCTCAAAACATAAAAAGACATATTGAATATATATGTACATATATAAACATCATTACATTTCAAATCCTATGAGATTATTTACAATAAATCTCCCAATTACAATCATCTTGAATATTGTAAAGAAAAAACGAATCGAACCAACACATATTTATTTGGGTTACTTTTATAATTACGAATTTCCACGATGAAACATAACATTATTTGTAATGAAGAAATTAAAGGTTTGGAAAACCTATGCTAACATTATTTGGGGAAATCACTCAGATCAACCCTTGTACGAGCTGCCTTATCTCTCAAATTAAGGCATACACACAGAAGTGGGCCCTCTCTTTTCCTAACCTGAAGAACTATT